ATGATTTAAAATTACCTTGTGAATGACCCTGTGGCTTTTGCGATGATGATTCAAAACTTGTAGAAGTTGGTAGTACTGGATGATTGACATGTGATGACTCCGGTACTATCATTAAACGTTGTGGCAGTGCTGGACGTGATGATAAGTCATGCTCTTCGATTTGATGCTTTTGCTCTCGTGGTTGCGTATTCTGATTGTAGTTAACTAGCGACTGTTGTGCATATGCTTGTTGATAACATACTTCTGGACTTTCCCTATGAGACGTTGAAATCTGTGGAGGAGTTACGATGCATTTATGAATTGCCTCCTTTTGTGGTTTTCCCTGTAGTGGTACTGAGTGTGGTTGTGCGTCTAGCACCTGTGGACCTTCTTCGACGGGTTGTGGTTCTTTTCGCGTTACATCCTGTGCCTTTAATCCAATCAATGATGAAATCAGTGGGTTTTCTTTAAACTGTTGTGTTTGTGCTTCTCGCACCTGGGGATTTACTTCGACGGGCATAATGGTGTGTAACTCCTGTTGTGGTTGGACTTTCGGACTTTCTTTGATGAGTTTCGAACAATGTAGATGTTGTGGTTCCTGCATATTTACTTGCGATGTTACTGAGAGTTGAGCTAGATCAGTTTGACGTTGCATGCTTGGTATCATGGTTGACTTGGATAATAATGGTGTCGTTGCCGTTTTAATGGTGTTTATTCGTATTGTTGGTTGCTTAACTTTGAAACTACTCTGTTGTTGGTAACTTTTCTTGTTTTGTAGTCCATGTGGCCCCAGATTCACACTGTAATCAACGTGCTGCCCTGTTCTTGTAGTTGGCATACATTTCGTGGTATTTGGTAATGACGTCGCTTCTGAGTGTTTACTTATCAGGCGATGACTGATCGCTTCCTGACTTCGACTTGTTTTAACTCGCTCTGTACGAAGTTCTGCTAATCTTTCGTAATAATCATATGGAAGGAAAAATTCTAAAAAGTCTGCCTTGAAGCTTGACCAAAGGGTCCAACGTTCATTGTTGTTACGGTACCACATCGCTGCCCGATCTTTAAGGAGTATGATCATCATCCTTGGGACTATATTTAAGTCGATGTCATAGATTTCTGATAGCTCTTCTATTCTTTCCACGAAGCCTAATGGATTTCCTTTGCCGTCATAACGTACTGACCACTCAGCTATTTGGTCAAGGCTTTCAATATACGATGGCATTGTATGTTGATTCCTCTCGTGACTTTGATCAAGACCTTCTTTTGTGATGACGCACTGCTCTGTTTTCGAACGAACTCTTTCACTGTTCCTGTTTTAAAGATTCGCAATTCTAAGCCGTGGCTTCCGATTTCCCTGTACCTGTGTTCTAATGACTTTCCTCGTTAACCGTTTGTCCACTGTTCTCCATGTTCCTATCGTGTTCTTTTTTTTTCTAAAATTCTGTCCCTGCTCGGGCGCCAATTGTAACGACACTTTTGGTGACGTTCAAAAATTTTTAGTTTTTGCTGGGGTATCCTCAGCCGTCGTCCAGAGTCGTGACAATATATTTATAATTTTGCCGAGACGTTGGTTTTAGAAGAAAACAGAACGTGATTTATATGTATAAATTATATATATAACTTTATTTATTTCATAAAACTTATGATTAACAAAGTTTAATTAAAATTCATTGGAAACATTTCTAATAATAAATAAAAAAAATTATGTTGATGCCAAAATTTCCCACTTCTCCATATACTACTTGTTAAAAGAATCTTAGCAAAACCCGTGTGACTTCTTAAGCCCCTCTGCTGTTATAAAAAAAATAAACAAAACGTTTCCTCCGTGCTGTAAAAACTATTTGACCGAATAGGCCAGGTTAAAAAAATATACATATAAGACAGGAAAGGAATTTTACACTACGTTTGACTCAAAGAACCAGATTTGTGGCACAATGTGCCAGATGACCAATAGGCCAGTGTACTTGTTTCAGGAAAAAGTAAAATTTCAAGTTTGGTAAAATTTACCAGAAGGCCCAATGAGCCAGAGTACTTGCTCTTTCACTTGTCGCAACCCAAGTCCCCGATTATATAAAATGTGCCTCCTTTTATATTGAGCATACCGAAGCTTTTTGGTGTAGCGTACCGGTATTCTTTGCTGTACTTGACTTCGCCGTGAAGTTGAACTTTGTGTTCTACTGTTTTCTCACTTCTTCTGCTTCGCCGTGATTTTTAGTACTTTTACTACGCGCCGTGTTTCTTTCGTGTGTGTTTTGTTTTCCTTTAACTTATATTATATTATTAAAAAAATAAAGTGTATTAATACTGCAAAACAAGGTATTAAATATGCATATATATTTTGTGAATTTAATATTATCTAAATGTGAACAGAAAAGAAATATTAAAAGAAGTAAAATTGATGTTGGCGTGCTTAGTTTTGTTTTGTTGTGTTTTGTTTACGCATATAAAAATAAAATTGGACAACCAAAAATGTTAAACTGTTTTGTGTTTTTTTTGTTTACGCAGATAAACTAAAATTGAACAACCACGAGTGTTAAATTGTTTTGTGTTTTGTTTTATTTATATATAATTGTAAAAAATAGATATTTGTTTAAAATTTAAACATGTTTCGCCAATAATTGTTCATTGTTGTTGCGTTTATAAGTGTTCCATTCATAAAAGTTTTAACCAAAAATTAATTTCTTTTCGTATATTTTTTTAGAATTTGCACATTGCATGTAGCGATGCCCGCGGCACATTGGCATCGAGGATCACAGGTAATGTCCATGATATTTCAAATAAATATTTTAATTCAATTTTATATTTTCCAGTTAAGTCGCCTTCAGTTATTTTCATGTGAGTTGTTAGATTTATTATGTGTAGTGGTGGCGGTTATTTAACACACAGACTGTGTTTTTCTCTGCTTCTTGTTTTATGTAGCACAGAAATTTACTTTGTAAATTTGTGTCGTTACAAATTAGATAATCAAGACAGTAATGCATGCAAATCCATAGAAGAAATTTGCAAGAATTTTCAAGATATATTCCATATTGAAGGAGACAAATTAACTACCAATAATTTCTACAAACAACATTTACAAACGATTGATAACTCTCCTGTTTATATAAAGAATTACAGACTTCCACAATCCCAACAACAAGAAATAAACGATCAAGTAAAAGATTTATTAAAAACAAATGTTATTGAACCATCCACAAGTCCATATAACTCTGCACTTTTAGTTGTACCAAAACATAGTACTAATGATAAAAAACAATGGAGACTTGTAGTAAAGTACAGGCAACTAAATAAAAAATTGATTAGTGATAAATTTCCACTTACACAATTAGAAGACATAGGAAGAGCTAAATACTTTTCAACATTGGATATGACAAGTTCATTCCATCAAATAGAATTAGAGAAAAATTCCAGAACATTAACAGCATTTTCCACTAGTAATGGACATTATCAATTCAAAAGATTACCTTTCGGTTTGAAAATATCCTCCAATAGTTTTCAAAGAATGCTTACAATAGCACTCTCAGGTTTAGACTCTAGTGCATTTTTGTACGTAGATGATATCATTATATTTGGTTGCTCTTTGCAACATCACAACTCCAATCTAATCAAAGTTTTTGAACGCTTAAGAAGCTACAATTTAAAATTAAACCCAAAGAAATGCAATTTTGTGAAACCCGAAGTAATTTACTTAGGACATTTAATCACTAAAGAAGGTGTAACTGCAGATCCAAATAAATGTAAAGCAGTAAATGAATACCCAATACCAGCAAATGCCGATGAAGTTAGACGATTCGTAGCATTTTGCAATTACTATAGAAGATTTGTAAAAGACTTTGCAAAAATTGCAAAACCTTAAATGAACTTTTGAAAAAAAATAAACAACTCATTTGGTCCGAAGATTGTAAATTAGCATTTGATAAATTAAGAATATCAATAGTAAGTCCTCCAATACTACAGTACCCAGATTTTACTAAAAAATTTATACTCACTACAGACGCATCAAATTATGCGTTAGGAGCAGTTTTATCCCAAGGAGACATTGGAAACGATCTACTAATATCGTATGCCAGCCGTTCTCTTAATAAACACGAGTTAAATAAACCGATTATAGAAAAAGAAGTTTTAGCAATACACTGGGGAATTAACCATTTTAGACCATATTTATATGGAAGAAGTTTACAGTAGTAACAGACCACAGACCTTTAGTATCACTATTTTCACACAAAAACCCTTCGTCAAAGTTAACAAGAATAAGAGTAGATTTAATGGATTATGATTTTAACATAATTTTAAAACAAGGAAAAATGAATACAAATACTGATGCATTATCCAGAATCAGAATGGATTCGGATACACTTAAAGAAATGATTCCGAAAAATATTAATATTGTGACCAGAAGTAAAACGAAAACGAATAATGAAATGAATAAAGAAGAAAACGTAATCAAACAGAATCAGAGTACAAATTACTCAGGGAATGGCCAACTCTACATGTGGAATTGTATTTCGATTTCTGATATTAGAAGATTACCTATATTAAAATTTGAGCTCAATAAAGAAGAGAATAAGAAAAGTTTGCCAATTATAAAAATTGAGAAAAACATTGTTAAAGTACAGTGTAGCAATAAGCCCAACTTGATTTTAGAATCAGTCCTGGATACGCTCACAAAAGTATTGAACAAAAATAATATCAATAAAGTAGCATTATCTACTAAAGATATACAGGCATGCTCTAGAATTCGAATCCGCATAAAAAAATTCGATTTCAATTTAAATTCACATTTTGGTGCTCTGCTTTTATCGATTCATTTGCGATTTCACAAATGAAATCGAATGAATTTGCTGGCTCTAGAAACCGAATCCGCATAAAAACATGTGATTAAAAACACTTATCGAAATAGTTGTGAAATTAAAAGTAGTGAAAATAACATGTAAGTATAATTACATTTTTTTTGAATTAAATCAGTTTCAAGTTATGTTAATAAAGAAAATAATTTTGATATTTTATTTTGAAGGGGTAAACACAAGAACACTGTACAAGATGGAATCTTGCTAGGATTTATGGAGTTGCATAAGGAAATTGCAACTGGCTTTGTCAAAGGCGACAAAGTGGCCACGGACCAACTATGGGCAGAACTAACAGGAGAGCTAAACAGTCATGGTCCACCTAGTAAAGATATCCAGGGATGGAAAAAGGTAAATTGCATTTTTTTTTATTCGTTAGCATGATAACTTTTTATTCATGGTAATACAATTATAGGTGTGGCTCGACTGGAAGGCGACTGTTCGTAAAAAGATTGCGCACAATAATTCAGAAGCACGGGCGACTGGCGGTGGACCATTCAACAAATATGTTCTTACCGCAGCCGAAAAAGCAATTGGACGACTATGTGGCATTTTTAAAGTGGTCCGTGGTATTAAGAACACGGTTGAGTTTGGTCAACTGTGCTCAAATGACGAGGATGTGTCTTCCGATGAGTTGTGCCTATCTTATATTGCTACCACTACCATTGGTGCCATTACTGCTGATACTATTGGTCCCACTACTGCTGATACTATTGGTGGCACTAATGCTGCTGCTATTGGTAGCACTAATGCTGCTGCTAGCAGAAAACGCCGTCGGGAACCAACGTGGCAAGAATCTGTAAAAAAACATATTGTGGAGCAGACACAGACTATAAAAAATATGGAGCAACATATGAAAAAATTTGGCGAAGTGTTTGAAAATTTTGCAGAAGAAACTAAAAGAAATAATTTAAAGATGGAAGAGCTTCTCAAGGAGAAGCTGGATCTCAAAAGGAAAAAGTTGGAGTTAGAAGAAAAGAAGTTTAATTTAGCGAAAGCTAATCGACGCTAATTTTTTTTTTTAATTTTAAGCTCCAATAAAGATTAAATATTTTAAAAATTTATTCATTTTTTTGTTTTAATAAAAATTTTCCTTAAATACTACTAACGCAAGCTATTAGCAATGTCATCTCTTATTGTATTTGCTTCTCTACTAGCCGATATTTCACTTAGTTCCTCTTCATCTTCATTAGCAAAGTGAACGTCTTCGACATCCTGTACCTTGTAGTATCTACAAATATTATGTAGCGCACAGCATACATTAATCATTTTGGAAACTTTTTCGGGCTGGTATTGAAGAAGTCGGGCTAGACACCTAAAGCGGCTTTTTAACACGCCAATTGCTCGTTCAATAACATTGCGTGCAGATGCGTGTTTCACGTTAAATTTATGCTCCTGCGTTCCAGGCTGCGGATCTCTGTATGGCGTTAGCAAAAATGGCTGAAGGGAGTAGCCAGCATCTCCTAAAAGCCAACTTCCACGTTCACCGCTCTCATAGCACTGGCAGAAGTAGTCGTGCGCCTTGCTTACGCACCATATTAGTGAATCGTGGCTAGAACCAGCGCGCCTAGCATTCACTGCTCTAATCGTCATTTTGTAGTCGCAAATCTGTACAAAAGAGTAGCATATTGAAAAGAAATTTCAAAAAGAACTTTAAAGTCCTTACTATCATGGCGTTAATGCTGAAATAGCCTTTCCTATTATAAAAAAGGTGGTGGTCACGATGAGGCTTTGTCATTCTTATATTGTAACGACAATTTTTCGTCGCTCTGTTTGCCGGGGTAATACTCAGGGGTTGGTCCTGGGTCGTTACAATAATGCCTTCTCAAGCAAATGTCTCCTCTTATATACCCATCAGACCAAACTGTAGTGTAGCGCATTTGTTTGTTTTACGGCTGGTTTGAATTTAGATGTCAATGTATGCGTGTGAATTCTTATTCTACTGTTCAATATTTTGTTTACAGCTGTCTTGAATTCGCCGTGGTGCATTTTACCTGCGCGCGCATTGTCTTCTCTTCTTTTAGCCGCTGCACATATTGTTTACATTTGACGTTTGTTAGAACGCGTGTTTATGTTTGCTAAATTTTAATTCGTAAATTAAAGAGAAAACTATAATAAATAAGCAAAAGTAATATTCATATTCATTAAATGAAAGTAATATACATATTCAAGGTATTTGTTTATTTCTGTAAATTTCCATAATACAATTTCAAATTCATATTGTGTTCGCAGCAGTCGCAGTCGCAGTCGCAGTCGCCGGTTCGGACTCGTGTTAATTTTTATGTGGGGTGGAAATTTTAATGTAAAAATTCCGTCCTTACAATATGTGTTCCGTCCACACAACCTACCACACCCGGAATCCCGAATTTTTGCATAAAGTGGCGCTTAGACGCACTCCGCTCAGCGTCCGACATTTCTAATTTTATCCATGATGGGCAGATGCGCCTTTCCAAAATTGCGATAACATTTGTCAAAATTTTTCCAACAGTGCTCCTACCCAAAGCTATTTGCTTGTCGATGCCTACCGCTTTTTGAAAGCCCCCTTCCGCTAAAAAACGCAATGTGCAGGCCAACTGAATAGAACTTGGTATGGATGATAACTTAACGTGCGGTGTTACGACTTTTACCAGCATGCAAAAAGCATCTTTGTTCACCCTGTAATAATTTATAAAGCTAAAAGTATTCATTATTTTTCGTTGTTTCATCCAGTATGAATTAGCCACTTACGTCGACTCATTCAAATCTAACGGATTGCTGCAATCTCTTAAAACCCGTCTTTTTATTTTTTCATTTGTGTGACTATTATTTTCAGCTGCCACCAATGCTAACATTCCGAACATTTTATAAAAACTGTTTTTTTTTTATTTTACTTATTAAAATTTAAAAATTTCACTTAAGAACTTTGAATATTTTTCAAAACGGCAAAAATATATTTCACAACTTGTTAAAATAGTCAACAAACAGCTGTTTAAATTCATTTTATTCATTTTGAGTTCATTTTGAAAACGCATGAAAATATTCGATTTCTGGAACACCCAAAACGGGTTCATTCCGTTTCAAATTGAATTTCGATTTGAAATGAAGTCGAAATTCAGAGCATGCCTGATAGTATTCGAATACATTGATGAAAAAGAATTAATGAAAATATTTAATAGCATGCAAAAAGAAATAAAGAATAAAGGTCAGCAAACACCTATAAGTATATTATTATATAATCCACCAAGGAATGTCGTGGATAAATCGGAACAAATTGAATTAATAAAGAATTACCATACAAGTATTCACGGAGGTCACACCGGAATAAGAAGAACTATAGCTAAATTGAAACAGAAATACGTATGGAAAGGAATGAATAAAATGATAAAAGATTATATTTTAAAATGTGCATCATGTAATAAGAATAAAATAACAAGACACCATAAAGAAAAATTTGTCATAACTAACACTCCAACTTCACCGTTTGAAGTAATACAGATGGACACTGTAGGTCCACTAAGAATATCTAATGGGTACAGATACATTCTCACTATACAATGCGAATTAACTAAATATGTAGTCGCATTTCCTATACAAACAAAAGAAGCTCAAGAGATAGCAAAAGTCATGGTAGAAAAATTTATATTTAGATATGGTAATGTTAAGAAAATAAAAACAGATAGAGGTACAGAATTCCTCAATGAATTAATAAGTGATATATGTAAGTTATTAGGTATAGAACATTTAAAATCCACTGCTTATCATCACGAAACATTAGGTTCTATAGAAAGAAACCATAGAGTATTAAACGAATATATGTTATCGTTTACAAACAATTTTGATTGGGATACTTGGATCCCATACTACACATTTTCATATAATATTACACCTCATTGTGTAACAAATTATTCACCTTTCGAATTAGTATATGGTAGAGTCGCGAATCTTCCAAATGAGATAATAGAAGGTAGAAAATTTTATAATTATGATTCTTACGTTACTGAGTTAAAAACAAAACTACAGTATGCGCATAAAGCAGTAAATGAGATATTAATAAAAGAAAAATATTCTCAAAAAATTAAACAAGATGCTAATGCATCAGAAAATTTATTTAATGTAGGAGATTTAGTTTATTTAAGAGTAGAAAATAGAAGGAAACATGAGAATCCATATCATGGTCCATATAAGATAGTTGATAGAAATGGTGTAAATTCCACTATAGAAATTAATGATAAAATAAAGATAGTTCATAATAATAGATTAAAGAAAAATTTACAAACAATATAAATACTATAAGAAAATAAAAATTATTTTTATTACATTTATTTGTAAAATTATTTTTAAGAAATAAAAATTGTCAATGTCAAGTTTTCAAAATTCAAATTATCATAAAAAAAATTTTCTTTATTGTATAAATAAAATTTTTTTTTAAAAGGGTAGAGGTGTTGTGTATAACGCAACAATGTAAATGTAAACAAAAACAAATAATAAATTATGTCATGTATTTTTGAAAGTGCTTATGCACAAATTATTTTATATTAACTAATGTAATGCGATCGCACACGGAAGAACCACCGCAATGCAAATAGAATATTTGGTCATAGCAAGTATGCAATTGCTATTTGACACTTTTCTTTTCTGTGCTACTATTCTGCACTTGTCGATATGACACACTTGAATGTGTCATAATATTTTCTAAGCATTGACGTGGGTCAACCTTTTTAGTGCCGCCGCAATTAAAATTATCAGGAAAATATTTGTAAATCATTGTAAAGCATTGTAAAACATTTTTGTATACATAGATTGGAAAATTGTAATAAAATTCAGATTTTAAACTGAGCTCTAGCAGCTTACATTAAATCTCGCTTTTAAAATTATTTTTGTCTCGGCATTCTTGGATGCCTAATAATGTGCAGATTTCTTCCTGCTAATTAAAAAGAAGAAAAATTATAAACTTGAAATGAATCTGATAAATATATAATATATATATATATAAAAATAATTAAATTTGTATATGAAAACAAATTTTAATTATTACAATATAGCTAATCAGGGAGACCAAGGTAAACAAGTATTAATGAAAATGACAGATCTCACAGGCTTAAATGCATTCACCAATGGACTCAATGAGAAACTTAGGAATATAGTAGCAAGGCCAACTACTCTAAACGAAGCTGTACAAATTGCTCTAAGTGTAGAAACACAAAATAGAAGCATGATACAACAGCAACCAAACAGGAATTTTCAACAAAGGAATGGATTCTCGAATAATTACAGGAATTTCAACAGGCATGCATCAAATCAATACAACAATTCCAATAATCAAAAAAACTGGAATATCCCCGGTACACGAACCCAGGGGCACAATCTAAAGCACTATCCAAATCATAACCTAAGCTACAACCAAAACAACGGTTACAACAATCGAAACAATTACAACCAGAACAAAAAGAAATAATACACTTTAAAACAATAGAAAATATTGACAATAGTATCAATGTTAAAACTTCTTGTAGCAATAAGTATATAACTTTATTAGTAGACACAGGGGCAGAAATATAATTAATAAAAAAAAGGTATAATAGGGAAGAGCAATTTTGATAATACAAAAAACTGCCAAATAAATGGCATAACAACAGGAAAAACAACCACAGAAGGTTTAATAGATATAAATTTATTTTTTGATGGTAAAACAATACCTTACAAATTCAATGTCATAAAAAATAATATAAATTTACCTACAGATGGTATATTAGGTAGAGATTTTTTGATAAAATATAATTGTAAAATAAATTATGAAACATGCGTATTAGTGATCTCAAACTCAGAAGATGAGATAGTCTTACCCTTGAATATAAAAATAAAAACCATTAAAAATATCAAAATACCACCCAGGGTAGAAGTAATTCAAGTAGTTGAACTAAATACAAAAGAAGACAGTTTAGTCTGTGGAAAAGAAATAGTGAGAGGAGTATTCATAGCTAATTCTTTAATACCTGCCAAAGGTATACAACATATTAGGTTATTAAATACTAGAGACACACCTGTAGAACTAGAATGTGCAACAATAGAAATAAAACCTTTGAATAAATATAACATACTTTCATATAATTCTAATCAAAGTACAGATACATTTGTTAAAAGTTAAATCAAAATTAAAAATAGACGGTTTAGATAACATAGCCAAAAATGTCCTTTCTGTAGTGGACCTACCACTAAGCCACTTACCAGCACTCGTAAATAACAATAAGCAAATTTATGAATTAGTCACATTTCATGCATACCACACAAGAAGCATAAGCAAAGCGACATAAACAAAAGAGTTTCGTATTACCAACGAAAGATTGGCACACGCTGTTCCACACAGCCACACAGCGGTGTGGAACAGCTGTGTGGCCCTACGGGCAGTGAGCGTAGCGGAGCGCAGCGCTTCTCGTCGTAGTAGTCGTCGCAAAATAGTCGTAGACTCTTGAGCAAGCAATCAGCATGGCTGCCTCTATTTGATTGACGTCACAGCCGTAATAATAATAAATTTTTTTTGTTGATTGAAGTGGTTGGTGTGGTGGTATTAGTGCGCGTGTTGATAAACAAAGAAAATGGTTGGTATGCAATAATGGAGGAATTGAAGGAGGAGTTCGAGATGTGGATGGAGCCATTTATAATACTGATGAAGGACATAGATTGGACAGAAACAACACAATTGAATTTGGAGAAGTTAACAGCGACGATTTCAACAATGTTGATGGAATTGCAAGAGTTATCGAAAAATCGAGATATATTCTCCGAGAACTCCTTAACAAAGAAATTAAATCGACTAATAGGATAGACATCTACTTGTCCGGAGTTAGAAGACTTGCAGAGTTTGAAGGATATGGTGAATCAATTAAAAATTTTAAAGAAGGAGGGAAAAATTGTTTATTTAAATTTATCATCAAACATGGAGACCACATCCACTTCGTGCACGAATGCCCGTTCTCAAACAGAACATGTAGGTGCTTTAAATTCCTCAATGTTAGACGAAAAAATCCTAACATTATTCCAATCAAAGGACTCAGCCACTCCGATATTGAATCTATCGTCAACTATCACTTTGAAGGTGGACGGGAAGCCATCTACGTTCAAGTTGCCGGTAAGGAATACACCCAGTTATTTGATCGATTGCAAGACTTTCGATATGGCGACAATTCCGCCGAATGTAGTGGAAACGCAGGAGATGTGGAAATATGCTCTTTGGAGGACAAAATTCTACGGAAACGGAGTTTTGAATTCGGAAATCCAACAGAAGGCAGAGTTTAATGAAAGATATAGTACACACTCTGAAGGTGGAAGAGGTGGCAGGGCCACCAAAAGCCAAGCGCGTCAGGAACAAATAGAAAATAAAATTTTGGATATCTTAACTGTTCCATTAATTGATTTGCACAAAACTGATGATTGATTGAATTCAAACTTTAGATTTATGAATCCAAATTCCAATGAATATCGTCAAGCTATTCAATATTGTAAATTACAGTTTGTTAATAAACAAATACGTGATTATAAGTATTTTTATAATACTAAACAGATGATTGCTGAACACATGTTACAATACTTTCAATAATAATACTTCCTATATTGCAATCGATATGTGCAAAACATTGTCAATGCACTCTAATAATAACTTTGACGTTTGACCTAAATGAGCAAACAGTGTAGTCGCAATGCATTGCATTCTGCAAGGTCAGCAATCACTTTGATTGGCTGCAGTTATACTTTTCCAGGTTTTGTCTGGAATGAAGAGGCGGAGTCATTGTTCAATAAAATCAGAGTATACTTATGACTGCAAAACCTATGCGTTGTTAAATTATTCGCACACCCTTCTGGCCACGTAACACTGGCCTAGGTATCA